ACTTTGTTAAGCTGTTTCTTTGCAATCCTGCGCCCCTCTTTACAGACTACATGGCCTACAAGTTCCAGAGCTGGGACACAGCAAGCAAACTTCTTTCCCGAGATGGTTAAGCCAGCTTCTTCAATTCGAAAGAGGACTCGTTCCAGAATGACGGCATATTCCCAAATAAAGCGGCGAATTCCGGGGTTTTCGGTCAACTTTTCTTGATTATAATCTGAGACAGGGCCTTTAATTCCGCCGTCGTCAATGAATATTCCCACGTTTTCCGGTATTTCTTCTTGAAGAATCCACATCATCTGGGATTGGTAAACCGCGACTGAGTTGGTGGCTCCCTGTGGTAATCTGGTAAGTTGGAAGCGGCCTAAAGGGGTTTCGAAGGTTGTTAAAGGTCGAGAGCTGACGTCTAATTCACGTTCGTCATAGCCGCCCATAATGTCACCAAGCCCGTAACAAGCTCGGCCGGTGAATGATTCAATCAAATCCTCTGGTGCGGGGGGCAATCCTGCGTCTTTAATTGTGACTTTATTTAATTTTTGAAGGTCGTGGACCACTCGGAGCTTTCCATCCTGTTTCTTGACGCAAAACACTGGACTTGAATAGCTGGAACAAGATTGCTCATAGAGTCCGGTTCGAATCCGTTCTCTAACCAACTCAATGAATTGATCTCTGATGGCCTGGGCAATAGGAATTGGTCTTTGTTGCCACGGCTCATGGGCAATTACTGGGATGATGTAAGGTTTACCGTATGAATGTTTCAGTAACCCCCTCTCTTCTTCTACAAAGGCTAAGGCACCTTCTCGAAGTTTGATGACGTGCTTGAGCAAATTTAACTCTTCATCTGAAAGCCACCCGGTCGGTCCGAAATTTACGACTTTAAGGCGTTCCTCAGTTATTTTAGCAGTAGGCACGAATTCTGGGGGATAAGGCGTGAGTGGAGTAGTGTAAGGATCCCGAGATAGAACTGGAAAACTAAGTGGGGTATTGATATTTTGGGGCATAGGTTCGTTGACCGGTTTTACTTTCTTTGCTGCGGATTTATACTTAGCTGCGCAGACTAACACTCCATCGCTACGTTGCATTTGTTGTTCGAAGACATTTTCTGACGATGCATCACTGGAGGCTGTTACCACGTTTGAAGTTGTAGTTACGTTCGTAGGAAAGGTTGTCTCGTATTCTTGATTAGCCGGAGTAATAATAGGAACCAAGTAAACTCGTCCTTCGTCGTCTTTAATGGACAGACTCTCCCCGCCTTCTCCTGCGTACCGCATAGTTGCTGATACGTCGATCAGGAAGGTTTTACCTAAGATAGGTTGCACGTCTCCGGTGGATACCCAGAAGTGGACTTTTCGAGAGATATTTCCAATTTTAACGCGTACTGATTCGGCTATCCCAAGGATTTCGTTCTTGTGACCACCGATTCCCTTGAGGTTCATTTTCTTTTCCGTAACGATGAGGCCCAGGCGTACCGCAAGATCCTTCGGGAGTACATTCACCATGGAGCCGTTGTCCAGAAGCGGTTGGACTTCCTTACCGTTTATACCTACCTTTATGTGGCCCAGCGGGCATGCGTAATGGGACCTGCGTGGGGCCTCCGTTTCTTCCTCTTCGTCGTCGTCTGAGTCCACTCCTCCGGCGTTAGTTACCTTTTCTGGTGGGCCGCCCTCAATTGGGACCTTTCGTCGTGAAATCTTCTTCTTGAAAGCCTCGGAGACGCCATTGGAGATCGCAAAAATTTCACCATAAGAGAGTTCCATTTTGCCTTCCAAGACCATTCTTTGGACGACTCGTTCTTCGGCTTCGGGAAACTCTTTAGACAAGGTCTTTTCTAGGTAAGTCTTCTTGGGCACTTTTTCTTTTGCTTCCGGTATGGTGACTTCTGGTTTCTTGAACTGAACTTTCTTTGGTACCTCTGCCGCCGCTTTTTTCAGATGCTCTTTGTACCCTGGGAATAGGTCGTGGTTGTCTTGTCGTGCCAGTTCGGTAATTTCTTCCTCGACATCCATTAAGTCTTCGCTATCCTTTCGAGTTTTCTTTGGGGCCGGAGTCTCAGAGACCTCTTTTCCGCTCCTCAACCGTTTGGCAGCGTCAACATCGTAAGAGCTAAGTTTTTCAGGGGTGCACTCTTCCAATTTACCATAAGAAGTGCGGATTTCTGATGTCGGTTCCTGCTTTTTAATTTCAGTTCCCGGAGGAAGATTGATGATTCCCGGGGTCTGTGATGGCGTGCAGTTCTTATCCACGACTTCTTTTATGGCGCGTGATCTGTCGGGCTGTACTATGGTTCCATTAGGAAGTTTGAGGTCCTTTCCTTCGCGGTAAACTTTCTTGTCGAATTCGTCCTGGGCAAATAAGCTACATCGATACACCGTGTGTTTATCCCCAAAGCAATAATGACATTTTAAGGTCGACGGTGGTCTCTCGTATTGCGCCGGCCTGTAGGGTACGTGGCTGGCTGATATCACGGGGCCTTTCTGGACGTTCCATCCTGCTAAGGTCTTGGTTAACTCTTCGACAGCTGGATCCTTTCGTGGCGTATTTACTGGGGCTCGTGGCGGCGCTGGTTGATTGGCGGCCGGTTGCTTTGCCGGGGGATCCTCTCCTTCTAAGATTGAGATGGTCTTGAGTTCACGACTGATATATTCCATAATAGTTAGGTACGGCGGCAAAATGTGGGATCCATCCACCGATAAGCGCATTTGGTTATCTCTGATAAGTTCCTTTGTGACTGAAACCTTAATTGGATGGACCAGGCAGTTTAATACGGCGTGTCGAATTTCCTCTGCGTTACCCATGTGTTGGCACCGGACGAGGTAAGCCACCAAGTTATCTATCTTGATACGGAAATTTTGGAACTCCCTTTGAGTCTTGATACCGGATGCACGTGTTGTTGCTAGGAGCTGATCCAAATCGTTCCTCGTATGTTTCAGGAGCGGCATCATCTTACCCCAACGTAGCACCATCCGTTCTTTCAGTTTTTCCCAGTCGTGGTTCTCCTTTTCGGCCATTTCCTGGACTTCTTTTACCAAAGTCTCGCCTTCGAGGAAGAAAATTATCTGAAGCGCAATGTCGGATCCTAGGGCGCCATCTATCTGTGCGGCGTATTCCAGGCGCTTAATAAAATCGCTGATGTCCATGTTAGTACCGTTGAACATTAGTCCTTTAGATTGGGACTTAATCTTGACTGGTTTTCGTCCGAATGGCTCCGGGTTATACGCCGGCAGCACGACACGACTTTCCAAAAAATGAGGACTTGGTAGTATATTCCCTGCTTGGCCAGGACTTGGGAAACCGTGACCGGGCAATCGAGATCCTGCAGAGTGCTCTGACAATGCCGGGTTCGCAGTTGGGCCATCTGAAGACGAATTTTCCGAGACGTTGTTTTGGTCGCGGAATGGTCCGGGGTTGAGAGGTAAGTTGTTGGATAATTGTCCAATATTGGACGAGTAGAGGTTTATAGGAACTGGCTGGTTACGGTAAGACATTTCTAGAAGCTATGAAGTAAATCTAATCTAATTTTTGTGTGTGCTTTTATGAGTTTTGAAGTGCGGAAAAAAAAGGCGAGAGATAGTGATGATAGTAATGTAAGGAAAAGATTTTTTTAAGGGTTTTGTATCTTAAGATTGTAATGGATAACCAAAACGTGACTGTTTAATCTAGAGATCGTCAGGCCACTGTTGGGACACCACTTGTGGAACTACCCGGTGGGATCAGATAGAGTGTGGAAGGGTAAATGCGCCGTGAATAAGGCTGCCCTCCGGTAAAAGGTGATAAGGTAGTAGACAAGGAGAGTTCAAATACTCTCTGAAGATGTGGCGGACAATTTCTGACTAGCAAGGTGTGATAATATTTTCTAAGTACTTTACCTGAGGACTTTACCTGAGGACTATGACAAAGGACAATAACTAACTAAGTGACCAGGCTGAGCACGTCAAGGAACTGATGAGGGAACAAATGATGAGGGGAAAACATGGCTCCTTATATACAAAATCTGGGGAGTGGCCAGCTTGTGGTTTGAGAAAAGGATCAAGTGAAAAATATCAAACTGAAACACCACGGCCCAGAAGGTGGCTGCTAAGACCAAAGAGGACACAATGACATAGCCTGCTTTCCCAAAAGGGTGCGTAAGTCTGAGACGCGCATAGCCACATGCAGGCGCATGCATAGAAGTAAGAGACTAATCCCCAAGTGGGTGCATTAGTGTGAAACAGAAAGATAAGAGAAAGAGGAGTGCATATGCAGCAGCTCCAGAAAGAGAAAGAATGAAACAAGAGAAATCAAGGAGGGTTCCTAATACCCTGGCTCTGTCTGAGGGGTGACTTTCTTCCCCCCACGTGTGGTCTGGGTGCCTTGAGATTTCTATCTTGAGGACCAAGGTGTTTGGGCCTTCCTGTCCTGATTGCACGGCGCATTGAGGCATTGATGTTTTAATTTGGCTTACCACATCCACCCCCAAATTGGGATGATGTCCCCATCATCTGGACTTCTTGACGGGAGGGGTTCCTCCCGGCGAGCGGGTTTTTATACCAGCTCGTCGTGCAAGAATTGCGCCCGTGCCAGCAGGACAGGAAAGGCCCCTCCACCGTGAGTCCCTCACGATCGGAATTCTGAAGGAAACCAGACGTCCCGTGGAGGGTATCGTCGGTCAACTGTAGGAGAGAGCCAGG